AAATCCTGAAATAGAGAGAGAGTTGAATTGCCATAGTTGTGCTTAATTTTTCTGAAAACACACACACTCACAAATTATGGACTGAAGTCCTGTTAATGCTACTTATACATAGCCCCATGTTCTCCAGAATGTGAGACAGAAACATTACAGGGAACAGCTGCACAAAATGAAAACAAGTACCAAAATAACTTTGGGTTGTAGAAATTTTAAAGTCAGACCATTCATAAACAAAACTGAAGTGCTGAAAACTTTGAAAGTACTTTGCATGCATGGCAAGAGTACAAAACACCACTTTCAACAGTTAGAGATCTAAGTAAGAGCGGTATGGTCCAAATCTCACCACTCCAAACCCTGCAGATCCAGGGCACTCTGTTGTCACAGTCAGATTTCTACCATAACTCTTTCTCCCTATCAGCATGCAAGCCCTCTGCTTTGTGTTTCAGCTCTCAGCTTGTTGGAATACAGATACATTGGTTCACAAGTGTCTTGTATTTTCTTTATTCTGAAATATTAAGTTTCATGTTCATTTGAGCAAAGGCATGTTTTTAATCTTGGATCATGAGTATCATGCTGAAATTCATTGTTGTTATATTACTTATTCAGTAGATGCTATGAGAGAAAGAGTAAATAAATATTTGAGTGCTGCAGTATAAGCTGAATGCTCTGGCAACACAACAGTCGATGTGTGACTAAGGAAAAGAACAATGTTCTAGAGACTAAAGTCTGGTAATTTTTTTTTTTTAAAGAATTTGTGTCCTTTTTTAAAACATGCAATTTACAAGGTAAATTGTGTTTTGAAGAACAGTAAATTATTTTAAAGCACTTTGATTATAAACTTCTGCTTTTAAGCTGCAAATAAGTTAAAAGCAAGATGCAAATTTGTGTCTCATGGCATTGCCTGTACAGCATCTTTCTTTACAATAAAAAAAGTATAAATATAGATATCAATGGTCTCAAGTTTACAACATAGCCAACTGACACAATATATGTTTAAGACTGTTAACTGATTATATACATTAATTCATGCAAGTAATTTTGCTGCATAGTTTTTAATGCCATTTCTTTCTTTATTACACCAGTTGATGTTCAGTACATTTTCTGCTTTTTGTAACTGGACCATAGGATTTCCTGGAACTTGTATCTAAACTAGAAATAAAAATAAGCTCATTTTCTGAAGCTTATAATTGGTATTGTAACAGTGGGCTTCAAAATGATACATTGTACTTTTTCCACCTAAATTACTAGTGATGATTTAGAATATGATTGCATTTTATTTTACTGCAAATAAGTGAATTTTCATCAAGATTGATTGATTTAGACACACAAAGTGTTTGTTAATTTCCGTATTTCACTTACGTTGTTACACATATACATTGCTAGTACTCCCATCAAAATACGCAGCTTCACACAGGCAAAAATCAGATAACATAATTATAAATTTGTTTCCTAATAGCTCCATAAAAGCCAAAGTACAAATATTGATAAGAACATATTTTAAATTCCCCAAAAGGAGAATTCAGAAAAAAAGACCTGCCTGCTTCATAATGTCAGGCCTATGCATGTTACGTATGACAACAGTGTTACAGTCACCTCTGAAAAAAAATTACCTTAGCTTTCCTTTCCTTATTTTTTAGGGGTTTTTTCCTAGCTCTCTATTTAGATGCTAGTCTGTGGTACAAAATCTCCATATAAGTGTGTAGTGCATTGTACAAATATTCAAAGCTAGGAGCCCTTATTTCAGGATTCCTTGAGGCAGATCTTATTTCTACAAATAACACCTTCCATGAATAAGACAGGATTTGGCTTTAGATGCCAGATGTATTTATGAACATTAATCTTCTGGCCTTTGAGAACTTCCCCCCCCCGCCCCCAAAGTAGATTATTTTATACTTTACAAATGTTTTAAGAGAGCAGATACGCAACGTTTTCCGTGAATCCACCACCAAGATCAGCATGTTTTCCTTTGCAAAACAAATGGTGTAGCTTGCTCATAAAAATTCATTTGCATCATTTTACTCCTCTGATATTCACAGGGAAGTACAAGGATATGTGGCAAGACCTCAGGGATGATTTAACTCGTCTGTTAGTCATTCAGTCAATGCACAGGGCTTTCAGTGGCTTCTACAAAGAGTGAATGTACTCCAAGTAACGTAACTCTCAACCTGCAGCAAACCCCCTTCTGTGTCTTCTGAAAAGGCAAACCAGAAAAACTGCTAGTTTTGAACCCATGCTTAGCTGACAACTCCGTTTTGATGCCACAGCCTTCACCTGTACGGACTGCAGTAGCCCACAACAGGCAGTGACCAAACAAGGAAACATTGGAGCCTGTTTCAGTACTGAAGCAACAAGGCTCTTCAAGGACACTTGGAACAGGTGCCAGCACATTTTACAAGGGTGTCATGACCTACAAAAAGACGTTCCAATCGAAAAACCTGGCATGAAAAAGTTCAGCCTTACTTAGCACAAAACCTGGCCTACTGTAATGGCCCAAGCCCAAATAAGTTTCACTGCAGCACACTGATGTGGGTTTTGGTTGGTTTTGGTTTTTTTTTCTTAATTATCTTTAACAAATAACAGATTGTTTAATTTCACAAGAACATAGGGGAGTGGCTGTTAGAACAATAAGGACAGTCACCCAGTGCCTTTTTTTTTTCCCCTTCCAAAAACATAGCTTCAATATGGAAAACATCTTAATATAAAGGTAACATGATAGTCACAATGGCAATTTAGAAACCAAGCGGGATTAAACTGCTGAGGGGTGTGATCTCAAAAGACTATTTTCCTGATAAGAAGGAAATCTATAGAATTTCATATTTTGAACTTGACAGATTGCCCATGGGACTAAGATAAAGAACGACAGGAACCTGTAGTATCAACCAGTGAATACCACCCTCACCTAGACTTTTACAGGTTGTTTCAGAATTACTGCAGGGAGGCCAGCATTCTCTATTGTACATCTGTGGGATTATTTCAGAGGTGCATAAGGAATTTAAATTGTACATGTAACTTTTTAAAGCTAATAATAAACATGGCAGATAGCGAGGGCTAGAGTGTCAGTCTGACAGAACAAAACATTACTCTCCTAGGAAGATTTATGTTCTGTAATGCACAATAAAGTTTTGTACAGATCAGCTATGTAATAGTTAAACACCCAAACACACATTTATGCACACATCTACCCACGCAATGAGCAGTGCCTACTTCTACTGGTACATGACAGGAAAAAACTAAGGCATTATATTCTTGTCTGCCTGAGCTTATCTATGATGCAATACCAACTCTGACATCTATTGCCCAAGTAATACATTCCAGAAGAACAAAGAAGTCATTCATGATAATATAAATAAACCACACATGCACCAAAACACTATTTAAATTACCTACTTCACTTTGGAAACAAGTTCCAATTAGTTAGGTAAATATATTGTAAAGGTGAATTCCTGGCTTCACTGAAGTCAACTGGAACAAGGATCTCGTCCTGAAGGTCTCCTATGTGCCCCAAAGCCTGATCTTGCAAATATACAAGATGGATTTAATTTTATTCATGACAGATCATTTCCATGTAATCACCCAGTTAGAGTTTGCAGGATCAGGCTCTTAAATATATGTTTTTACTGATACAGTTACAGATTTATACCCAGTAATGGGCATTAATGGAATAAAACCCCCCAAATTCTAACTCACGGTGCATCAAGATTTCTTTGACTTCCACAGAAGCAGGCAAACATTAACTTCTTTATCCATGACAGCTACAATTCCCTACAGATGTCCAAATTCCCAGTGCAGTTGCATTAGGATAAAATTCTCACACTTCTGCTCTAGAGACTTTTTTTCTCAAAATGAATGCATTACATATATAGGTCAGTAACCAGTGAATACTTGTGTTTTTTCAATGGTGCTCCTCTCTGCGAGGCAGGAGAAAGGTAATAAATACAATTAGAAAACACAAAAGTTCTTTGCAAGACAAATTTCAGGACTAGCACAAGATGGCAGAAGCATTAACATCTATTTTTAAAGCTGATAGGTCTTCATCCTAGAGTGTCTACATGCAGCATTACAAATTTGATCTAAATCAACTGCAGTGGCTAACTAGTCCTAATACAGCAGGTTACTCATAATTATAACATTTATCCTAGGCTCTGTAAAAACGTACATGTTTTTATAGCCTAAAGAGACATTAACTCCCATATATACAACTCATTTTCCTTACCATGAAAGAAAATTTAGTTTTAAAGGTTTACAGTAAACAGGAATGTGCAGGCCAAATTCAGGTCACTTAAAGAATGAATCTCCCTAATTTCAACATGATTTATGTGAAAGTAAAATAAGTGGTATTTGGCTGTGGTACAGAAAGCCAAGAATGATACATCCAAGTGAACTACAAGGAACCAGAATGGAATTACTAAAATTACAGGCTGTAATCACTAAAAACACATTATGAAGTTACCATGCTTGTGTAAAGAAGTTAAATGTAAATACCAAAATTATATTTAGCCCAGGTATTAAGATTAGCATCTTTCATAAACACTTCTGTGAAGGGTTTAATCGCAGTGATCAAGACCTCAGTGCTATGCTGGTTCCAGAAAACACTATCTCCAGCAGTAAGAGACCCCTTAAATCGTGTCTCGGGTTTTGGTTCAGAGTCAGAACACCACCTTCCAGATTACTAACCTGAGTTCCTATAAGCAAACAACATTTTCCTTTTTAATCTTTGATTAAACTGCCCAAAGCACTAATTCCATCTGGCTTATGAGTCACAGTAAGCTTCAACTTCACAAAGAAAAGTTGAGTATATTTGGTTTTGAGAATATTTAGTCCATTGCTTTTTCATAATATTTTATTTCATAATGACTAACTGGAGTTATTTTAATGTAAAATGATAAAACCTGATAAAAAACCACCTCAGCTGGTTACACATTCCCAATTAATAAGTTATAAACAACAATTTTTATATTTGCTAATTAGCGTGATGTATGCTCCTGATTACATTTTTGTTAAACTTAGGTGTCAGCTTTTCCATATGTCCCTTCTGGAGGTCTGTAGTACTTTGGGAAAGCCATCAGTTGTATCATGTTGAATGCATACTTTCTGCATTTGACATTCTTCAGTACATTCTCTATGCGGCATCCTTCTCTAGTGAAAGGGGGAAAAAAGTACAACTTCATGAAACACAGAATAAATAAATATGCTTTATTTGTTCATTGCAGAGTTTCAGCAACAGTTGAAGTAAAAATAACAAAGATTCAACTCTACATTTTTGTTTTCCACAAGTGATGATACATCTTACAAAATTAAATCCAAGGCCAGGCCCAGTACAGTTATTGCCCTCAGAAATAGGTGATAAGATTTTTTTCCCCTAATATATTTGCCCTTGAGGTTCAAAGTTTAGTAAAAAAAAAATTAAATACTTTAACGATACATTTTGTTCTAATTCCAGAAATATATTTGCCTTTTAAATCTTCTCATACTTTTTTCAATTTGTTTTCTATATATGTGAGAGTACACATTGCCCTAAAAATGCGTATTCTAGGAATAAGGCATTTTATTCAGTCTGGCCCTACAGATTTGTGAAGGAAAGCTTCATCTCTGCTTCATTTCCCATATGTTCAGCTTTGCAATGAATAAAAACAAAGAAAGAATGGCTTTTCAAACAGCCCAATCCAACTCTCTGCTTTATAAAGGAAGGATGTTTGTTCACATACAGTACAAAAGTCACAAGTGCCAAAGTGGTGCATCAAGACATAAACAGGACTTTGTTAAAAAGAATATAAAAGTGTCTTGAAAGCAAAAGCAACTAAAGCAACAATTACAAACAGGTTAATTTCATTACAAAACAGAACTCACTCTATTCCATTTAGTTACTTGACAAAAAAGGGTTAGTTGGAGCAAAGTAATGATCATTTGTTAAACAAAAAAGATCCCATCAGCTAATAACAGTGAAAATAACACAATGAAAGTTAAGTCTCACAAACTACCACCCTGTAATATTTGTCTAGGGGTTAGTTTGTGTTGTGCAAATTAATTTTTAATTTTTTATTTTGTTAGACTAATTACTCTGGAAGAAGGGGTTCAAGCATTCAGGATTCCACATCTTCTTGTACACAGTGACAGCATTGTCAGTGGGCTTTCTTTGAGCTAATTACAGTGGGAAAGCTTTACCACAAACAGAAAGAGCAAATCAATTCACTCAATGCATAGTATACTTCTTAGAGTTCAGAAAAAAATTAACAAAAAGATAGTACATTTCAGACATTTGTATCTTAAAGATGAATCCTTGGGTCTGAGATTGTAGAAATACTACAGCATAATTCCTTTTTCTAAAGTTAGTTTGTTGCTGTTTGTAGAAAAGAAAGTAACACAAGTGAAGTTTACTGATATTTGGCTAATAGCAAAGCAAGACTTAAAATAAGCCACACAACCAGCAAGTGTGAGCTGACAAGCAGCAAGGCGACAGGATAGAAGTGTCGAGAAGTTGGCTTGTTATCAGTTAGACAGCCTGTTTCAGGATCATCCGATTCATTCAGTGCTCCCTGGATTTGTCTGCTGTTAAACAGGGGAAGTTAGGAACAAATAGAACAGCGTTTAAACAGCAAAGAAAGCCAACATGTAGGCATTTTGTCAAAGTGAAACTATATAGCCATTTTGAAGACATAGATTTATGTTAAGTACTTCCAATATATTTATTGCGTTCTACAACTGGCATGGGAAGCACGATGACTAGGTGACTAGTATGTTATTAAGCCTGCTAGGTGCCTCGGAGCAGTAGTCAGAAGTTAACATTAAATAACTTATGAGATGAACTACACAATCACTAAAATGAACACACACACACACACTGAACAGAAAAAAAAAGGAAGTAAAGAAAGTTAAAGAAGCGAAGAAAAAAGATCACAAATGTGTCACAATGCAACATTAACAAAATAGTGTCTCCATGGTGTTCACAGGTTTTTCAGTCCTGCTTCACTATCTGTTAGGGAATATATAGGAAGAAATAGAAAAAAATACATGCTCTTTTTTGGAAAGAATTAACAACTATTCTCAAATAGTTTTAAATTATGGTAGATTTACTTCTTAAAAAAATTCATCAGTGCTGGTGATTCAATTTTGAAGTCAACAGCAGTTCTTTTTAAATGCTCACACCTACACTCCTATAAGAAAATTACCTTGTACCTTGTTCAGTCAACTCAGCTAAGAACTCCTCTGCTTACAGTGAAGTTCTGCTGAATCACTGTTAAGTTGTGCAGTCCCCTTCCTACCAGAGCAGCAGGAAGATCATTCCCAATCTTTTCTATTGCAGTCTTGAGAGCTTCTCTCCAAGCAGAATTATTCATACTTCAGCTATACCTCTTAAATCCCTCCAAACTTAACTTCATTTGCATATGCTCAGGAGTCTTGTTTATGGACTTCCTTTGAGCAATAAGGACTGACAAGATTTTTATTTTTCTATTTACTATGAATATTCTGGGATGAAAAGATAACTTGCCATTTTTCTCTGTGGATTTAGGAATATTCAGATGTATCAGATTACAACACAGGGCTTTTTCAGAAGCACATGTCCCAGGTATGCAGTTTTTTCAACAAAGAAAATGCTGGCAGACCATAAAGAGACGTAGGACAGTAAAGGTACTATCACACAGCCCCAGGTAAAATGAGAAGGGTACAGCTGTATCATCACTTCATCTTACAGAAAAACCTGCCTTTCTGACTTGCGTGTTAAAAGGCAATGTTGAGTTTCTTGAGCTTGGATAGCAAGGGACGTGCAAGAACTACATTTAGGTGGGATCCTAGGAAAGGGGCTGATCAAAACCATTCCTTGCACAATTTTCCTTTTAAAGAAGTCTTCAATAATTGTTCTTAATTTCTTTCTTTGCTTCAAACATGCAATCTGTATGTTACATTAATAAAGAGGACAACCCATACTATTTTAAATAGCAAAATAAAAGACAAAAATTAAAATCCCTAGTAGTTGAATCTAGGTCAAATCAGTTACTGGTGTCAGTGTGCCTGCTGCTTTTGGTCTACAGTTTTTAAGTGTCTGGACAGAACTCAGTACTTTAGGCAAAATCCTCTCACAAACTGTCAAGGAATGAAGCTAACTGTGTGTTATGCTGACTTTGTCAACACTGCAGCTTACACTGAAATAAATAATTCTGTGTTCTGTATCACACCACTCCAGTGGACACCTTTGTACTACGGCCAACCCCAAGAAGTTCTTCCCCTTGTATTCACAATAATATATTTTGTGATCAGTGTGAGGACTCAAAGTATTGCTCTCTGTTAATTTTCTCCTTTATCATATGTTTCTACATAGTTTTTAAAACATGCTCCTTGCTTTTTTTTCTTTTTCCTTTCTTAATCTCCACAGGATCCCTCCAGTCTGCCTCTTTGACCCTGTTGCACTGTGCCCTCACCCTTTTTCTACTCTCTGAGGTGACCCTGCTGGTTTCAGCTTACCCCAGTTACGCCTCCAATTGAGAGCTCTAGCTCATCCCATATGGTCCCATCTATTCCTTTCCCATCACAGAGCCCAGGTGCTTTCGGACTGTCCTGGGTGCCTTCCGTCACAGACTTCATAAGTGCACCTATGGCAGAGCAGATGCAGAACTCTTTTCTTCTCTGAAAAGATCCATCTACGCAGCAACAAAGTTCAGTGTTCAGAAGTTTGCACAGCCACTGCATTAGCCACTGTCAGGTACTTCATTCTGGAGAGCCTGAGCTTTGCACGCCAATAGTTTATTCCAAGCAGGCTGAGCTACACGCTTGCAGGTTGCCCCTAAAGGGTGAACCCTCCTACTTCTGTGGAGTGCCCTGTTCTGTTTTGCTCCATGTCTCATTGACAGTGTGACTGTCTTTAATCTATGTTGCTACAAGTCCCATTAGCATCAGTGAGATTTATGCAGATGTAATGATGGAAATACAGATAAAAATAATTTGTTCTATTTTTTTTTTTTTCAATAGAAAAGCTTGCAGTACATTCGTTCTTTGATATGGTGAAAAGAATGATCAGTGTCTTGCAACATAAAAAGTCCTATCTTCCCCCCAGGAAAACAACAGTGAACAGCTGATGCACAGGGAATTCTGTTCCACAAATTAGTCAAATCATTCTGCGCATGATTCAATAAGACATCCTCGAAATAGAGCAAGAGGGTCCAACTCCATTATTAGCTACCTAACAACAGGCCAAGTGGAATACCTAAACATGCTTTTAATTTAAGAGGAATATTTGATCACGGTCAGATGCCTTGCTGAACTCTGCTAACACTTTTCAATGCACTGCAGTGACAATGTCTTCTAACACATCTTAGTGTTCTCTGCAGTGACTAACGTACCTAGTTAAACAAAGTGAGGCCTTACACTAAGCTGTCAACATCATGACAACACTGCTTCCCCTGGCTCATCAAAACCTGTAGAAGTTTTACTGCAAATGACATTAATTCCATTGGTGCCATGTCAGCTGGATTTATTCGGCTTCTGATTGACACTCAGCACAGCCAGAACAGAGTGATGTCTGACCTTACTATGGTGTGACAGTATAGCCACAGCTTTGGATGCTGTTTCCATCACAAACCATACTCGAAGAGTTCTGAACTCACACCAAAGGGGGAAAGACAACTCCCAAAATATCCAGCAAATTTGTATTTCATGCACACAGAAACACAATTTTAAGAGGAATAGTGAAAACTTGTAAATCCATAACATCTGGGGTCACCAACACTTTTCTAACCTAGAGTACTATTTTTATTCATTTACTTTCAAATTGCTCATTTGAGGCTTAGAACATAGCACAAATACATCACCACAGCCAAGGGTGCTGTAAGTTTAATGAGGATATAACCATTCCAGTCTGCCTTCTATCTCACTTGCTGTTTTATCATCTTAAACTCCTATTGGGATAATGCTGCATGCCTATCAAACGAGACAAAGGCAAAACAGCAGGTATTTTCTCTTGCCTTTTAATTCAGATGATAAATTGTTTGAACCTCTAAGCAGTGGAGCAGAGACAATGAAAACGGCATGAGGAAAAAAGAAGCCTCTCAAGAGTCCTTATACAGTGAAGCACACATATGAGGACACACTCCGGCTCCTAAACATCAGTCACACTTCTCAGTGATCCCTGTGCAGGAGGAGAAGCA